ATTAGCATCAAGAAAGAATTTATAGAACTGAGGACCGAAAACTGAATGGAATGGTTAGAGCTTGTGTTACTCGATCTGTATTAATTCTTAATGTTTTTCCACATGTGTCTGATAATTTTCTTTCTTTCTTTGTTTTGATGTGGTAATGAAAGTTGAGAGACTGTTTTTAAAACAATCGATGGAGGTTGAGGATCTTCGATGTCTACGATTAAAAATAGTTTTTCGCTAATTTGTTGTAGGTGAATAATGAGCAAAAAAATGTAGTTTACAACTAGGCTTTGTGATTATTAAGTAAAATTTTGAAATTTGAATTTGGAAAAAAAAAACACAAAAAGACATAGGGTACGGTCTTAAAATCTCTTTCTCTAGCAGTATGTTTGAGTGTCGACAACCAAGTGATTTTGTGGTTCAATAAGCTTGGAAAATTTCTCCACTGAAAACAAAGTAATTTTAGAATAACTTGGGATATCTAAACAAACAGTGAATTTTCTAGATAGGTTTATTTGAGTTTTTTGCTTTGTTTCCCTCCATCGTTACTGAACGTGAAGTTGTCCCTTAGTGTCATGCTACAGTGATCTCAAAAGACAACATTCTACCAAACCAACATGACCTCCTAAGCTTTATAACGTGTTTGGCACGTTTAAGCCTGACCACTGAAAAAACGAATGCAATTCTTAGAATTGCTTTGTAAACAAGCATCCAATGAACACAGACAAGATCTTTAGTGAAAAGCAATTCTTTTTATTTGCAACAAAGTTTATAAGGATCTCAAGAAAGAGTCTAGAAAGCCAAGTTTTCTTTAAAAAATCTGAGCGATTGACAAGACGATTCTTTACGGTGTTGTTGTCACACAATAACTCGTTCGCGTCTGAAGCGGATATAGTCATTGGCGATGTTCACCTTGCTTTATTCGCCCTAAGATCCACATAAACTTTGTTGCAAATAAAAATAATTGCTTTTTAACAAAGATCTCGTCTAGAAAGTCAAGTTTTCTTTAAAAAATCTGACCGATTGACATGATGAGTCTTTCCGGTGTTGTTGTCACACAATAACTCGTTTGCGTCTGAAGCTGATATAGGAATTGGCGATGTTTATCTTGCTTTATTCGCCTTGAGATCCTTATAAACTTTGTTGCAAATAAAAAGAATTGCTTTTTACTAGAGATATTGTCTAAAAAGCCAAGTTTTCTTTAATAAGTAAGACCGATGACATGATGAGTCTTTCCGGTGTTGTTGTCACACAATAACTTGTTCGCATCTGAAGCTTTTATAGTCATTGCCGATGTTTATCTTGTTTTATTCGCCTTGAGATCTTTATAAACTTTGTTACAAATAAAAAGAATTTTTATAAGTTAAGTAATTATAATAAGTTTTCTTAAAAAAATCTGACCAATTGATATGATGACTCTTTACGGTGTTATTGTCACACATAACTCGTTCGCGTCTGAAGCGGATATAGTCATTGGCGATGTTTACCTTCTTTTTTGGCCATGAGGTTCTTATAAACTTTGTTGGAAGAAGTCCAATTATCAGATCCATTTAAATTTGATAATTTTTCAAACCTTGGGGTGATATCTTTACATCATCAGAGCCATTTGCTGATATAGCAAACAGCCAGTTTTCTTAAATAATCTCTTGAAAAAGGTCTCATCGTTTCTTAACTCACTCCATGCCTCCCCAACCCATTGGGTCATCAAGATCCTGCTACCTTTGCTGAAAGTCTATCATGCTATTTATTGAGATTTTTCTCCTCTTCTAGCCATGTTTCCATTGCTGTACCAATTTCAATTTTCATCATCCGACCACATCCTACATCGATGGGCTGGATTTTGTCAGTGTGGTTTTTAGGTTGCAAGTTAACTGTAGCGTTGATCTGATTTCTGCATGTTTCATGGAATGTTTGACTTTGTTGGAAGCAAACTAGAACTTTGTCTTCTTTTTCATTCCCAAATCCTGGAATAAGTGTGCCCTGGACCCACTGCATGTTGATGTCTTCATCCATCCAGGCAGTTTACTGGAAATACATATCAACCCTCTTGTTATATTTTTCTTTCTCCTCAGTGGCCACATGCCCTTTTTCTCTGAAGATAAGAGGTGGCTTCACTTTTTGTTCCCCATCAGCCCTAGTCCAAAGTTGAAGAGTAGCCTGTTGTTTATCAAAACCAGGTGATGGTTGTAGCACCCTCACTGGCTTAGCACCCAATGTGTTGTAGGTTTTATATTGCTCATTTACAAATGAGAGAGAGACCTGGTCGATATTAATTCTGTATCTATATTTAGGCAACCATCTTCTATACTAAGCGGAGTGGTTTCCAGCTTATCAAGTGTTCTCCCATTCTCCCAAGTGTTTACATCAGGCTATGTAAACACGGAACCATTTTAAATTTCTTTTATGAAATAACTAATGAAAGAGGAACGAAAACCGTGTTTACATATGCTCATGTAAAATGGTTTTATAGCCAATCAGAGCGCGCGTACTATTTGAATTATTTTATAATGCTCATTTACAAATGGGAGAGGAACCTGGTCAATATTAATTTTGTATCTATTTTTAGGCATCCATTTAATATGCTTGGTGTCAACTGGAGGGGTCTTGTTTCTTCTTGTTGGTCCTTCTTAGTACCATTTTGTGTTTCTTTCTTGAATCTCTGGAACCAGTTGCTGCTTCCCTTAAATTTTGCAGCTTCTTCTGCATCATAGCATGCTTCAATTTTCAATTTCATTCTTTTTTTATATCAAAGTTTGGACACTTTGCTTCCTGCTGCTCTCTGTAGTTTAAACTCAGCAACTAAAAGATTGAAAGCCAGAGGATATTTACCATTGTGTTGGAATCTTTTCCCAGCTATCATTCTCCTTTGTCTCATTGGCCTTGTGCACCTGTGTTCTTCTTTGTCTTGTTCAGAGTCAGAATTTTGCATTTGCGTTTTTCCCTCTTAAACACCCCTGATATGTTGACTCCTTGCTGCTTTGCAACTATGTTGTAATTATTTGTTGTTGGTTTCGGTGAATCCAAAAGATCTAGTGTTTTCTCTTTGTTGTTAGTTGTTAATTAGTTGTTACTCGCTCTTAGGGGTTAAAGGGTTATCTGTGATGCTGCTCAGTTTCATTGTCTTTTATGATTTCATGTCAGCATGTTGTGTCTGCAGCAAAAAACGAAATCAATGTGACTGACAGAAGATAACAGTCATTTAGTAACATAAATTAACCAAGTCTAAAAACAATTGTTAAATGTACCCTGGAAATTCCCATACCTGCTGTGAAACTCTATGTGTGCAATGGCTCAGCACATATATTGATCTACTTAGGGTAAGACTGTACCCTAGAAGGTTATTCTAATCTAACTGGCGGCCAATTTCTTTGTACAAGAACAATATTAATTTTTCAGGCTGAACGTTTTGTTATGTATATTGTACTTTTTTGACTATATAATTAGCTGGAGTGTAGATTTTACCTTTAAACCTACTAAATGCAGAGCCACTCTTAGGTAGTGATCCCTGCTTCTCTGGGCATAGTGCATTCCAAGCAGGGGCAGAATGTATTGCATGGCTCAGCCCAGTTTTAAAACTCACATCTTAATTCAATTAACAGAACTCTCTCCTAACTGCCTTAAAAGTTAATAAGAAACAATTTTATTATTAAAATGAAATGCATCTGAATTCAAGAGTCATAAATACTGGTGCATAAAGAAGCTTTCTGCCAAACGCAGTTAGGTTAACCTTATGTGGTCTTAATTGCAAGTAATTTCACTTGCATCTTGCAATCTACCGTGTACCATTTTGGGACATGGTGGATAGCCAATAGCTGAATCATCATTTCATATTCATCAAACTCAAGTGTCCTTTATAGGTTAACTATCTTCTTTGTATGTATCTATATCAATTCTAGAAGGGTAATTAATATGATTTTGTTTTTTTAACTCTTCAGAAATCTCAAACAGTCATATATAACTTTTTCCTAATTGGGTGCCAGGTGAAGTCCTCAAAAGGTAAAATGTTAGATGTACATGTAATGTGACATGAGACTTTTCTCAGTGATGATGATGTTGATGATGATAGTGATATAGATGCTTAGGACAACAGGAACATGAATTAGTCCTTCTCTGATCATAAAAAAAGACTTGTTATCGCTTTTGATGTAGATTATAGTTATAAAAATGCTAATTGAGGAAAAAGGATTGTAAATTCTAGGTGTTGTCTTTTAGTTGGTTTTGATTATTCCATTGAAAATGATCACAACTACATGTAGGGCTTAAGATGTAGATCTATGTTAATGTTTGGAAAATCTTGCCCTGGTGGAGAAAGAACTTAAACCTGCCATAATGCTATCATTCCTCTACACCCTAACATCAGTGTGTGTATTCTCCATACTGTTCTCTGTACATTTTCTATGGTACTGACAAGGAGAATTGGTTTACCATTCTGTAGCTTCTGAAATTGGTGATCATCTCCTTTATTCTCATGACCTTCACATTTGATTCAAGGGTGATTCTGTAAGGAGAATTAGATGCCAGTCACCCTTGGTGGTTAAATGGTGGAGGATTTTTAACTTCCTGGTAACCAAACAGTGGGAAAGTACAAAGTAAAGTCTGTCTCTTGATACTTTGCTCAAATATGTAGAGAGGAGTCCATTAAAGAGGGTTGTCTGAAAGGTATTAGATGTAGCAATCAAATACATATCACGACTGTTGGGTTATGAACATTTTTTGGTTGTATAGATTTGGGACGAAAAAAAGATCTCAAAATGTCAGGGATGGTGGTTACGAATAGAGTATCATCGTTTTTATGCTATTTTAACTTAAAATATCATCAGTATTATCATAAATGTTGGTTTTACTATCATTATGCCATGTACATTATTTTAGCAGCTTTTTGAAATTGACCAGAAATTCCTTAGCGGTTTAATCATTCTTTTTATTATTTTTTTCATGGTCCACAAAGAACGTGGATTATCGCTTTTGCCCCACGGGTACCTTTTGAGGTCTAGTCTGCAGTACTCTTGAACAACATGTCAGCTTCCGCACCGTTGCCCTTAGCCAGCTCCCCAGAGAAGACAAATGGATCCAAGTTGAGCAGACTTCTCATCGATGGTGGAACAACAGTGTTGAGGATCATCTTTGATGGCTATCTCCCACCGGCAAGGCTGTCTGCTGGACTTAACGCCCACTCTTTTACCCTGAATTCTCTCCTTGGGAAAAAGGTTCTGCGTGCAGCTCAGTGGGACAAACTATTCCCACCTGATGGAGCAGCACCAGACTCTCAGACGTTTGATATCACTCTCCTATTTCTCCTTCTCACCAACATTTGCGGACTATCTCCTCCTCGCTCAGGGTGGCATTCAAAGCCATCTCCGGGTGACAACTCTCTTGAAGCAAATCTTGCCCGTGTGAAGTTCTTCCGCAATGAGTTGTATGGCCACGTCACTAGCACTGGCATTGACACGCCCACTTTCTCCTCACTATGGAAAGAAATTAGTGCTGCTCTGGTTGCTCTTGGGTTGGATCAAAAGGAAATCGATAAACTGAAAGAAGAAAAGTGTGGCGCGGAAGATTATCTTGACGTTTTGGTTAAATGGGTTCAAAGTGAAGAAGAAATCAAATCTTATTTGACGAAACTGCGTCGATCTCAGAGCACAACACAGCGTAGTATTGAAGAGGTACGTCAAACCCAACTAGAAGATCACAAAACGCATCAAGATAGCAGGTCCATGATAGGAGAAGTGCATCGATCTCAGAGCACAACACAGCATCGTATTGAAGAGGTACGTCAAACCCAACTAGAAGATCACGAAAAGCTTCAGGAAAGCATGTCAGTGCTAGGAAAAGTGCATCAGACTCAGACGAAAATGCAAAGCACCATTCAGGGCGCTGCTAGAAGCCAAGACGAGCGTTTAGAAAGTTTGCAAACAGATGTACAGGAAATGAAGGTAGCCGTTGGAGAACTTAGCAAAGGAAGAAACTCAGGCAGCCAAGGAGATGAGGTCCTGAGGAACCTCGTTAAGTCTGAATTCAAAGGAGACATCGAGTTTCACGTCCAACGTTTTCAAGAAGACACCCGTGAGTGGGTGTTTAGCAAAGTCGAAAACTGGTTAGACGACAGAAACTCTCAAAACCGGGTGATGGTTATATGTGGAAACGCAGGAATGGGGAAATCTGTCATTTCCGCCGTTGTTTGCAAGAAAATGCAAGTGGCTGGCCGTCTATGCGGAAGTCACTTCATTCAACATAACAACGTCCGTTACCGGAAGCCTCAGTTAATGCTTCAATCCTTGGCTTGTCATATGTGCCATGCCCTGCCAGAGTTTAAGCTAGCTCTTGTAGAAAAGTTGACAAGAAATACGGGTAAGGATCTCAACGATATGGGGGTTGAGGAGTTATTCGCCTTTCTCTTTAAAGAGCCTCTCAGCAGCGTAGAGGACCCTGGAAGGAACATGCTAATAGTTATAGACGGCCTGGATGAAAGTGAATATCACGATCGGAATGAGTTACTTGAGGTCATTGCCGATCACTTTTGCAAGCTTCCAATGTGGATTCGATTTCTTGTCACAAGTCGACCCGAGAGGAACATTGCAAAAATATTAAGACATTTGCAACCGTTTCAGCTGGAAGCAGAGGATGAGCAAAATCAAAATGACATTAAGTGCTTCATTGGAAAGAAATTAGAATGCATACCAGAAGCAGAAAACACGAATGACATTGTGGAATATCTAGTTGAAAAGTCGGAAGGGCTCATGTTGTATGCTAACTTTCTTCTTTTATACATCGAAGAGAATCCATCAGTTCTTAAACAAGGAGACGAAAAGGGAAACTTACCGTTAGGAATTTCTTCAGTATACCATCGCTATTTCAAAAGGTTGGAGAGTGAGCTCATGACTGAGCTCGGCATCAATGAAGATTCTTTTTTGAATTTCCTTTCTGCTCTTGCCGCATCGATAGAACCCTTGCCTATCGACTTTGCTTCTCGACTGTTGCTTTCAAGTACTACCGCAAAAGTTAGTAAACGGAAACTTTTGAAAGCTATAAACAGTGTTTCCTCACTTCTTCCCGTTCGAAGTGACCGTCTTTACATTTTTCACAAGTCCATTAAAGATTGGTTAACAGATGAATGTTGTTACGGGGCGCATGACTTCATCGTTGACGAGAGAGAAGGCCATCGTATACTTTCAGAACTTTGTGCTGCTGAATTTGACATTCTGGTGCAAAAACGAGTAACGAAATCTCTGAGTGACGCGCGGTTTAATGACAAGACAAGGTATGCCCTACAACATGGTGTTCGACACATGTTAGAGGTCGACGAGGATACAAGAAGAGACGGCATTGAGGACGTTGTGAGGAAGTATGTGATAAACCAAGAGCTTGTCTATGCAAAGCTGTGTGTGAATAATACAGTGGCGACGGAAGATATTGTTTGTGTTCTAAACGAAGAGAGCTTCAACTCGTTGAGTGGAGAAACGAAAGGTTCCCTGGAGGATTTGCTGTTCATTCTGCGAAAGAACAGTTGGTCGCTGATGGAGCATCCGCATGTTATCTTACAGTCTATGGTGAACGAGAGAAAATCAGTGCTATCTTCAGAAGCTAAGAACCTCTTGAGTGGGAAATATTATGAAATATCGTATATGGAGCTGGTCAACAAGAATCAACAACACTCAGTTGTGGAAGCTAAATTTTTCTGTTCATCGTATGTGCTTTGTTTCGATATTTCACCAGACCAGGATTATATGGTGTGTGAATGTGCTAATCAAGAGATTCAGCTGTGGTCGCTGAAGACGAGTAAAAGACATTGGAGAAATCGTGTCTCAGAGAAGAAAAATTGCTTCAAACCTCTTGATTATGAAGAACCTTACAGCAATTTTGGCGAATTTGATTATGAAGCAGAAACACTTTCCATGACGGTTTCATTTTATCGATCTGTTGCCTTTCATCCAGATGGAAAACATATATTTCCTGGAAACCTATCCACAGTTTATACCATTGACGGGAAACAGAAAGAGCTTTTCAGCACGAGTAATTGTAGATTTTCTGTGTGTACATTATTAGGGGACAACATTGCGATGCTTACAGACTGTCCAAACAATTCCAAATGCTTAGTCATTTGGAGTCTAGATACTGGGAAAGAAATGTCTCGTATCACCAGAAATGAAGACATTGTCTGTTTTCAGTGCTCTCCGGATAAAAATCTTCTGGCTGTCTCCCACTCCACAGGCTTACTATGTCTGTTTGATGTACAGAATAGACTAACTGAGTTAGGATCCATATCAGCAACTTCACCTTGGGGATTTTTGACTTTCTCCATGGAGAGTGATGCTCTTGTTGGCCTGTGCAGAGACCCATTTGGTCAGATCCGTTTTCGCTGCAGAATTACTGATAATGAAATTTCCAAAAAAGTCTTAAGTGACTTAAGTGAAGAAGACGTTAGATTCGTGCGGTTTCACCCCGACATATTCGAGCGACCATTCCTCGTTGGAGATGCCACAGGAAGTTTGACGTCGGCCTTGTCGAGAGTTATTCCTTTCGGGGAAACCGGATTGCTAATGAGGTTAACAAGCGAACGTGCATTATTAAGTAGCCCAACTCTTCCACACGTGAGTTTGATAAATCTCGCTGAAATTCAAAAAGCCGAAATAAGGTCAGACACGCACGTTGGGAATGTTGCTTTCTCTACTGATGGTGAGAATGTGTATGTAGTGAGTCAGTGTCCACCAACAGTGACTGTAAGGGAATATTCAAGTTGCATTCCAAAAGCAGAAAAAAACTACGAGACTTTCCCTTCGATTTTACCTGTGAAAGATGGTGTTATTGTTTTGGACGATACAGTTGAGTTTTGGGACGTTGAATTGACGGAGTGTAAACGTCGGTGGGACAAGTTACAAGGGATTAAGTTGCTACCTATATCAGAAGAACAAGTAGTTTGTTTGACCAAAGATTACACCGTTGTTGTCCTATCTATCTCAGATGGTCGTTCCAAGATCATTGGAAATGTAAAAGGGAGGAAAATCCTTGCGATGAACAAAAAATTCCAAATGATAACTTATCAACCTACAGAGAAATTCTGGTACTTTCCGGAGTACGCTGTTCACCTCTCAGACGCCTCGTTTTCATCGTCTCACAAAATTCTGTCGTTTTATATCGACGATGAAGGCTGCCCACCAGCAGGCTTATTTTCTCCCAAAGGAGATCTCATTGTTCTATGGACCTCCGATATCGTAGATATCTTCAATGCAACCTCAGGGAAACTACAGCTCAAGTTACCCGAACAGGGTGGTATAGTGGATCTTAAATTTATCACGAACCGAGTGTTGATGGTCTGTTCAAGGGAGAATGTTGGTAACTTTCTTCGAATGTTCGATGTAAATTCAGGGGATCATTTGGCTACGTTAGATATTGAAGAACCTTTTTGTCTTGGCGTTTGCCTGAACAGTTTACGTGTTGCCGTGGGCCTGCGTGGTTCGGATATAAAGCTCATCCAGGTACACCTTCCGAGAAGCAGACGACTTCCTCATGAGTGAGAAGGTAAGATAGTTGATGCAATCACGTGGCAATTAAACCCAAACTGAATAATCCCCTCCATGTGCTACTGAATTAGGTCGTTGAATGGGTAAATAATTGAATAAAATGTTTCTATTTATATGCTTCATTGGTCGCTAATGTATTTATTCGTGTATCTATTTAATTTATTTACTGTACCTTGTTAAACTTGGCACCAAAAAGAGTTTAGATCATGCTTTGTTTGTTTTGTTAGATTTTTTGTTGTAGCCGTTGTTTTTTTAGTCTGTTTTCCTCCTTTTGGTTGCAGCTATATGCTTCTCTTTGTGCGATTCTTCAGATACTATTTTATCATTCTTTATTATTTATCATTCTTCATAGCTGCCAACGCCCGTGGGCAATATGAAGTAAATCCTGTGGTTTGATTGGCTATCCGAGCGGTTTAATTACAAACCGTTAGAATATTTCGCAAGACGAAAACATGGCGAACCGAAAAACCGAAACCTCATGCTTCTCCTAGCCTACAACACGCATGCGTGCACTATTACTTAACCTACGTTAAGGCAGGATACTCTCCTAAAGTAGTTTGTTATTTCTTACTGTCTTCACGACGAAGTCTATTTACGGTTCCCTCTTCTTTCCCTGTTTTTCTCTCTTAGATGCTGGCCTTGTTTGCACGAGCTATGACGAAATCTGGTGCGGTGCAGCTCAGAAAGACGATTTACTGCAATATAATGACGACTATTTTTTTTCAGACTGCGCTTGTGCTCGGTAGAGGGTGCTTTAATCTAGCCCAAAAAAACCAAAACTTCCAACCAATTTACGCTCACCGTGCACAATCATTTACGCCTAAGATTTACTGTGCTATCTCTTGCGACTAAAACATCTTTCTGAATATCTTGTAAATATATGTTATGCACTATTTTTCACGTGTTTTGAACTCATCAGTTACAAACCATTTTATTCTATATTGGAATAGTTTTCGTTTGCAAGGAATCTTCCTGAACGGTACTTCAGTAACATTTATAGTCAAGAACTTTAATTATTTCTTGTACAAAATTGTTTTGTGTTCGTTATTTCTGCTTTGAAGGTGTCAGTATGCAATTTATGAGTTCGTTTCCTCATGTAGAGAGCTTCCATTGATTCTTTCCAATTTTGTTTGCTAAAGAACGAGGGTGATACACACCAAGAACATGGAAGCCTAAAAGTGAAACAGAATTTTATTTGTAAAGATAAATCGTAATTTCCTTTTCTTTGAAAGAACGTTTTTTAACTCTGGAGTAAAGGAGTTACAGAAAATGTACAAAAACTTCCGGATCGGGAGAGCTTTTTAAACGCTGGATTAAAATATTTGCAGAAAATGCACCAAAACTTCCGGATCGGGAGACACTCAGAGAAGTCTTAGTATAAATGCAATAAATCAAGTTTTTACCAAATTATCACCTGCTTTTGCGTTTCACTGTATACCTGTATAAGTAAGACAATGCTTTAAAGGTGATATTGTTCGGTTACTTTCCTGAGAGTTCAAGAACCTGTTATTTTATAGGTCAAAGGCATGTTGAATACAGCCATACAGCATTCTCTCCAGAAATATAAACCTGAAGTCAAGCGACCATTTCATTATCATTTCTGGGTTAACCTTTCTTGAAACACAATTGGACTTGAGAGAGGAGGATGATTTTGGCTGGAAGTGTGATAGGGGTTACCATTTTTCTACCATTTTCCTCCAGTTGTTTCTGGTAATTTGCATTAGAGAAAGCTTCGAAATGAAGCCCTTTTCACAAGAGTGCCGATGGTGACTATTTTTACGCAGTTTATAAATTCACTTTATGTACGTGCTTGAATGAAATCGGGCGTTTTTTACATTCAATGGTAACCCTAACACATGCAATGACACTGAAATAAGATAGGAATGGATGTGGTTCATCGTCTTACTGCAAATTGGCGTCGTTTACATGTTCGTGTTCAAGTTGTGCGCTGTGCTCGTGAGGAAATTAGCAACATTTTGCATTTATTTGCACCGAAAAAATTTGGCAATTACGGTGAGCAGAATGTTACGTGAAAAATTATTTGCTATGCTCAATTAAAAGTTCGATAAGAACCAGTTTATTCAGTCCCCAATACTCCTAATATTGACCGTTTCATTTAGATACGGAAGGATCCTTTTAGATAGATCTGACAAAGGAAATGGGACAAAATTGATTTGAAATTATTCGCATTGAATGAAAGTAATTTGAATTTCCAATATGTATTATTATTTCTTTATTCGGTTGATATATTAACACAGAAAACCTCAAAATAAGCAAAGTGTACAGCCAAGATTCCATCGTGGAAATTTCCCATCAAAGCTAACATAACGTATAATCTTTTTAGCCTGATTGCGACAGTACTTCATTGATCAATTACAACGCTATTTCGTGTGTTAAAGCATTTACATTGTAACCACACTATTTAATTGTTGGCACGGTCCTATATTTTTTTACACCATTCCAGGAGGATGTAGTTTCAGATATGCATAACAATCTATTTTGTCTTTCATTGGCTTCGGAAGATAAAATGACACCGCAGCTTTGACAATTCCCACGATAGATCGTTCTTAGTCTCGTCCAATATATTTCTAATTATCGTCAATTGTACCAACATAGATCCAAGAACATATTTTATAACAAATAACATCTGCTATAACTGTACAAAGGTATCTACTTCCGCACTCTGTCAATCCTTTGACCCCTTGGAGTGATCAGCATCTAATTTCTCCTTACAACATCATCCCTGAATCACTCAGTAAGGTGCTGAGAATAAAGAAAATAATCATCAAGTACATAAACTCCTGCTTGTCAAACAAATTCTCCTTTCCAGCACCTCAGAACTTTATACAAAACAACATGGAGAATATGCATACTGATGTTATGGTAGAAAGGGTTAGACTCAACTCCTGCCTCGGGATCAAAATACAACTCACTTCCCCAGCTCTCTTTCGTCTCTCTCTTACTTAGCGCATGCACCTATGATCTTGGACATTAATTAAAAGGTACCTGGATCATCCTTTCCTCATTTCAAGATATATCCTTCATTGCTTTGAGGGTCAGAGTTTACTATGAAACCTTTATATTCCAAAGTCCTACGTAGTCCATACCAAAAGGGGGAAAAAACCTAACTGAACCGTCTTCTGAGGCAAGTAAAATTTCAAAAGAATTAAAAAATAATAATTATAACTACAATTATACAAAGCGGTTGCTAATAAAGGTAAATTACTCTTAGCCGGATTAGCCGGATTCGTTACTTTCTCAAAAGACGGGGGTGAAAACATAGTGGTATTCACACTTCGGCTTTGCACTTGAGGAACACGATCTAATTATGGGTTACTTCGGTTTCGCGCCGTTTTCAGCTAAACAAGAGCAAAAACAGAAACTACAAGGTTTTACAAGGAAATAGCCTTTTTAAAGGCCATTTGAAGACCATATAGGGTTTTTCTACATATCTGATGAAGTCGCTATGGTGTCCACGTTCACGTACGGACGTTTTATTTCTCTAGCACTTTGCAGTCCTGCAGTATGAATCAGTGGGGCGTACATGCAATTAGCTGCGCTATTGTTACGATTGCTGGGAGAAATGTTAGTATAGTCAGTTCTTGCAACTTGGGAGGCATCTTCAAGTTCGCCACCGTTTCCCTCGCGTCTCAAGCTCATGTAAAGCCCGTTTGAATCAGTCCATGTCGATATAACATCATATGGGAAAACCTCATCGTTATCACGCGTGATAGTTTCGGTCCGTGACTCTGGTCTCGGTGACTCCATTTCCTCCACAGTTGCCATCTCAGTGAAGGTGCTCTGTACTGTCAATTTTCTGGATTTCCTTTTCTCAGTTATTAACTTTGTGATCTTTCTGTGGGTAAAACCCACAACAGAGCAGATTATGAGGAGAACGGACAAAACAGCAATGACGGTGACCAAATTGGTTGATGTGGAACGATCGGTACCGACCTCTGATACTTCTTCAAAAGATAGAAAAAAAAAATAGTTAAACATTAAAAAAAGGAAAGCTTTATAATCATATTAATAACCGGATTTTTTTTTAAAGCAAGAATATTTACTGTGCAATTTAACATTTCCGAAATGAGATCGTGTCGAGAAAAACAATCTAATCAGTCATTTCCCACCAGTTAGCTTTGTGATTTTCTCAAACTTCCTGATGTCAATACTATTTGGTCGTACGAATACAGGCGAAGGGAGGAGGTTGCGGGGGGGGGGGGGGGGGAAGGGGCACCCCCATATCTCCATTCTAGGGACTTTTGTCCGGCTGAAAAATCCCCTTATATTCGCATCTGTCAAATTCATGAAAACACCCCCAATGAACAGACACTTTTTCTAGTCCAGATAATGTTTCCTAAAAACAAGGCCCATCGGAAGCGAACAAGTCCTTTTATAAAAAAAGCAACCTCTGTTCTGATAATAGTGCAGTAATTTCAAGAGATCAGAAGAGAAACTGTATCTGTTTAATTACTGATCCTAGCAGTGTGCAGGACGCGTGTCATGTGAACTTCGTAATAGACCATACTCACAGTGGAGTCTCTGTGTCACAGTGGTAGAGCATCGGAGCGCGGAATCCGAAGGTCTGAGGTTCGATTTCTCATTGGGACTCAAAATTTTTTCTTTGTCCCACGCTCGTGACAAGACGAAAAAACATCTTTCTCTATTGTTCAAATAGATGGCATTTGTAAAAGCCACATAGAAAGGCGGATGCAAAGTGACTAAATGTTCCCTCAGACTTTTACGCGTCATAGGCCACTTCGGTGAAAGAGGACGTAAGAAGAAGAATGTGGCCCCCCGTTTTCGTAATTCGTTGCACGCTGACAGAATCAAACATTGCTGTGAGCTGTATTGAGAATGAACTGATGCAGAGACAAAACTGTTTAAACTGGCATTTTAAACCCTCTAAACTGGCAATTTTACCCCTTTTTGCCTGAAAAAGGATTATTTGACGCATAAGTACCACTTAGACATAATTTTAAACTAATTTTGTAACCCATTGTAGTTTAACCCGAAAATGAAAGCATTTTTGATAAAGATTTGAGAAAAATGAATCTATCTTCTCACCTGGTCCTCCCATGAGGGAGATGACCAAGGATCTGGAAGCACTTCCGGCAATGTTTGACACCTGACATGTGTATTTGGTTTCATCGTCTTGCAAGGAAACTTTGATTGAGTCCTGTCCTTTAATCAGCGGTTCATCATCTTTAAACCATGCGTACTTTAGCGGGTGTCTGTTTGCCGTGTTGCAAAGCAGTAGAAGTTCTCTTTTCATCATTGCTTTGTCGTTTTGTTCAAGAATAATTCCTTTAACTTCAGTTACAACAGGATGCTCTGATGAAAAGAATGAAAAAAAAACATATCTCTAAGCTAGGCATTAAAGCAAAAACGCGGAGAAATGAGCTATGAAGACCGCTGCCGCCGACTGAATTGGCAAACTTTGGAGAAACGAAGAGAGTTTTTATCTCTGATCCAGTGCTACAAGATAGTTCTGGGAATAGATAGTCTTCATTTTTCGGACTTTTTTGAACTTACTAAATGTAATCGAACTAGAGCCAATCACGATTATAAGCTCTAAGTAAAAATAGCTATCGTAAATTGCTACAAATTTTCTTTTTTTGTACGGATCATTAATATGTGGAATAATTTGCCTAAAGATATTGTACACGCAGGATCATTGACTTTATTTCGTAACAGACTAAAGATTTACATGAATATTGATTGAGATGATGGTAAACAGTTTTTAATTATCTGTATATAATGTTTTGATCTTTTTATTCGGGGAATCTTTTGTATAGGGTTAACCTCTAGAATATCCCCTTTCGAGAGATACTTTTACAATTTTATTTTTTATTTTCTTTCTCTTGAATAAAGTATTGTCGTAAGCTGCAAGGCAATATTTTTTGTAATACTTTGGCGGTCCATGTGATGGACCACCAAAGTATTGGACAGCTGAGTATACATATCTTTGGGAGCCATTTAGTGCCAATGTAGGAGCTGTTAGTGTTTGTTATGTCATTGGATTTTTGTCAGCTTCCTCTTTCTCTATTTTTTCGCTTTTCGTTTTCACCACATATTGCTTAGATTTTCTATTGTTTGTTTGTTTGCGTCTCGATTTTGTGATGTCAAATTCGTTTTATTGTGTCATGTTATTGATGAACTTTTAAAGCATAATTGTAATAGCGGAGTTATGAAAGTTGCTATCTAAGATGATAACTGTACATGTCTATTACAAAGAAAGTCCTTTCACGCTAAAAAGATCTTTGCCACTTGACCATACAAGGATCACAGAATGGAGAAAAAAAATAACATGTTAGAAAGGAAAAGTACATCGCCAAACTATTCTACAAACCTTGCTTACGCTCTAGACCAATTAACCTTCATGGACTTACCAACAACCAGGACTTTAATGGACACTCTTAGACCATGATCCACCTCACAATAATAGGTCCCTTCATCAGTTGAGGAAACACTGTGAATGGTTAGCTCTTGGCCTCTTGCGTTTAGGGGTACACTCCTTTTGTCTCTGTACCACTGGACGGTCTGATGCGGCTGACCACACCGAAGTGTAACGGAGAGACCAGCAATCACTGTTTTGTTCTTTTCTGAGGTGGGAATGACTGGAACATCTGGAAAATGTATTGAAATTTGTGATGTGAACTACAGTTTCAGGCAACAGCTAGAAGAGGTAAATGTTACTAAGAGAAGATTCGTGATTGGGGCATTATAATGCGTTGAAAGATGACAAGCTTCTCGTATGTTGCTAAACTCGGTCATACTGTGTCCACAAAGAGTGCCGTCTTACGTCGGTGAATCTACTGCCCATAGAAAATTTTGCACATTGTGCCACTGACAAATGGCGTTGAAACAGGACGTCTAACTGCTTCTCCCCCTCATGCTCCTATGAAACTCAAATACCTTTGCAGACTGAAGTAACTTTCGTATCCCGTCCCCCACCCCCTCCGGCTACCGCTGATGACCTGCCTTTTTCATCATTTTCTGTAATTATAGGTTTCCGGTGTAAAATTGAAGAACTCTGATGATCACGAGTCAGTGGTTTTTGATGAATGTTCAAATACAAGCTCTTCTTAACCATAAATATTTCATGTGCAGCGCCGTAAATGATTTTCCCATTGCAATTGACCTTCGACCATGCGGACCGCTGAAGAGATTCGCAAATCATTCAAACTCATGATAGTGGGCACAGAACATCAAAACAATTCCTTTCATTTTGATGATATTGTTATTTTCATATGTTAGCAGTTTATTCAGTGGGCGGTCTTCCTCGAGGTATATTCCGATTTTGTTCCCCTAGATAACGTAAGGAAACTACATGATTACCCTAAACACTATTTATTGAATGATTGTTCCATTTCTAATAAAAACTCTATTCCAATTACAGTTCCCCAAAGGGAATCGTTTGCGGCCATTCCTACTGATCATTTCGGGTTAGGGATAATGTGTGCAAAAATGTTTCTGAAACAACTGATAAATCGTCGATTGTCTTGCCCCCTTTTTAAGTTACACACACACAAAAAAAAAACACCGGACGTCTTTGTAATTAAACATCGTGGTCAAGAGCCAAAAAGGAAATGAAACCCAGTGAAAAAAGCAGATCGACGTCGCCAATATATGGGCAGATTGCCATGTTTGTTTAGATGGACAGAGCAGAACTCTGTAATTTCAAAAGATGCCATTGCCAGTACGTGCTTGGGCGCTGGAAGAAAGCGGGACTAAACTCTTTAGTCAGGAACCATTTCAAAGCGTTCCCAAAATCATGCTTGCTATAGGCTTAAAGACATGTCTGAGACAAGCGTGGAGATCCTTGACAACATAACAAAACACACAACAACGTTAAAAGATGAAGATGGAAGTGATCATCACAATAATGAACACTACTAAAACTTTAAGTAATTTTCCTTTTGAGCTCGAGAAAGGTCAAGCCTAATAAAGAACAAAAGGAAAATACCATCTTTAATGTTATGAATTTGGCTGCGTAAACGCCACTCCGTCTTTTTAAATTTTAGTGGGCCGTGCTGGAGGTCACAGAACACACAAATAATCAACCATAGCGTGCGTACTATCTGGGTGATACACTAAACACCTTTAGGTAGACCTCTCCCACAGAAAGGAGAATACATTTCTTTCTGCTTATTAGAAATAACTAACTGAAGTCATCATCATGACCATCATTATATCGTCATTTCGTCATACTGTCGTCATGGTCGTTGTCATCATCTTCATCGTCGTCACCATCGTTATAAACAATTATTGAATGAGGTTTTTGTGATATCCAGAATAATCAACGTTGGGGCAGGGGTTATCAGCCGAAGCTTGAAGCTGAGGCTGATAACCCCTACCGAAACCTCGATTATTCTGGATATCGAAAACACCGAATCTAAATAGAGTTTTATTGTACATTGAACGAAAAAAAATGGTCTTTACAGTATCTGGAACTGATTATTTATTTCTGAATGTATAAAAATGTACAAATCAGCAAGCAACACAAAGCGCGCGAACTTGACATGATTACCCTAAGAAATTATGCACCGCGGTGATACATGACATGACTACCCGTTTCCTTGAGTGTCATTAACATGATTATTGTATAATCTGCAGCTAGTTGACGTCCTAGGCGCTTATTTCGAAAATTCATCGTACGCTTTGGGCCAATCAGAAAAGAGAGAGCAAGTTGAACGTATGATAATTATTACTATGGATATCATTGACAGCAGCTATGGTTTCTATCACCCTGCTGGTTTCTAAAATTTATTATGTAAATCAGCATTGTACAATGACTTGACGATATCTTTGTAAATGAGATGTGTTAGCTGCGACAAGGCTGTTTATGTCTTGTCGATAACTAAAGAGTTATTAGGTCATAGGGGCCTTTTCCCTATGATCATACAACATGCACTGTTTTAACTGTAATCGGTAAAACGTTGTTCCCGACATTCCTTATCATCATTTTATAATAAAACTGAGCTTAAGATACCACGTGCCCCCTGACTGGTCAAAAGACCTATCTTTTATTGCACCGGTAAACCTATATAGAGTTGAAGCATATAATGTTTATTTTATAAAACCATTACACTACACTTTCTATTGGATTACCAGCGAAATAACCTTGTTTTCCCAACATTTCGCGTAGGTTATTTTCTGCCGATAAACCTATAGGAAGAGAGGTCTAATAATGGGCTTTTCATGGGACTGTCATGTTCAGCAGTCAGAGGTGAACAAATGATGCGTGAACATGTTTAAAAAGTATCCAAATGATGAAGATTTAGATATATGAAAATTCACATATTTGCACTGCGGTGGAAAGATGAAATTAGAAGATCCTTGCAGCTAAGAACACTACTGAAACTAGTAGTTGTAAGTAGGACCTGAAAAAAACTTTCAGGCCCGTACGGGATTTGAACCCATGACCTCTGCGATACCGGTGCAGCGCTCTACCAATTGAGCTAACAAGCCAACTGGGAGCTGGTCAATGAATTGGGTACAAATAAACATCCGAGTGAATGAAAATATATATATGGCCTGAAATTTTGCGAGGATCTTCTAATTTCATATCCAAATGATATTAACTGTATGTGACCGACGTGAGCACATCGGTCAAACGCGCCGCAGGTTCTACCTCTTCCTTTCAGGCCGAAGAAAATGGGAATTCATGGAGTATTTTTAATATTTTTAGACATTTAAATGTATGCATTGCACATGAGGCATGAAGCTACATGATCCACAGCTCAGAAGTCCAGTCCATTCTAAATTTTACTTACTAAGGCTTCTGGGACAGGGGAAAGTCCCAGAATTGCTTTCAGGTTAATTATATCCCTGTAGTGAACCTTGACGAGACTTCGAGAAGAAAGTCAGATGATTCCATAGCCAGGTTTGTCTAAACCAAGAAATTGCTATCTGTACTAAATTTTAAAGCGCAATTTGGGGGTCGGCTGGCCGTTTGGTCGGTAATCAATAATCACCTTCGTTCTCCACATAAATCGATCTCCACCTTCCCCTTCTTGTTGAAACCTTCATCAATTTATAATGTTGCTTCTATTCGCACAGGTGCCAGGCCGTGTCGTTTCAGAAGAAGCTGTTATTTTAGAGAAGTGCGGTAAAGTCACGAATTTATGGTAGGTTAGATGCAGTGATGTGGCATCCGAGTAATTTGTCGATAGACTTCATAACTTTGCAGGAAGTCAAATTACAGAATCTCCTTTTCTCAAGGGGTTTGCTGAAACCCAATGGGTATTTCATTAAAATCCGTAGGCTGACTTGTAATTGTTGTTCGATCGAATGTTATTCTCCTGTTGTACTGAGAAGGCTGTAAAACATGTCGATTTTCTCGATCGTAAGAACACTTTCATTTACAGCTTCATCGCGTATCGATAACTTGAAATTTGTCTCCGAAAATTTTAGATACTATTGTGGTTACTCAGATGAATAACAAATGAAATTGTTGAAATATATTTATCATCAGGAGAAAAGGAGCATTGATCAAACCTATGATATTGATATTGATATTGATAGTATCTTAACTTTCTGATGAAAAGAGGGTGTTCATAGTAGTATGTGAAAGCCAAATAGGTACTGAAGTATTATAACTTCTGTTTGTTTTTAAGATTTTATTTAGATTTTAATTTGTTCAGTTTTTATTTTTCTGAAAAAAAAATGTACCTTGTTTGTGCACACTTTTAATTTTGCATCCTGAAAACCAAAATTTAGTTCCACTTTAAGACCTAACCTTACATATAATATATGTTTCATTAGATTTGATTACGAGTTGCGTTACAGGTCACGTTGACATGTGATGAACACAATTAAAGGAAGCCAAGTCCGTTTATGTAAACTTTGCTGTAAATGTACTTGTACACACTTCTAATGTCACAATAGACTACAACATCTGAGTTTTCATTTGATGTAAATTTCATGCAGTTTATTTAACATCAGTGAAAATCACTTTGCAAAAATCACTCTGATTTCATTTTATGTAAACTGATCACAATCTTCATAGTATCAACAAATTTTATTTCATTTAATGGTTAACATTCCTTAATTGAGAGGCTACACATCTTCTAAGTCCCTTTCCCTCTTTGCAACATACTACTACATGTTAGTTTCATTTGATGTAAGTTTCATACAATAGGCTACATACAACAAAAAAGTCAGATTGCCACTGGACACAATCATATGACTTTAAGTGGTGGCAAGTTTGTAGTGGTGGCAAATTGACCTTCAAGTCCAGGCCTTTATATCCTCACACCTTGATTACTGTAGTGCACTTCTCTTCAGTCTACCTAAATATCAACTCGATCACTTATAGAAAGTTCAGAATGCTGCAGCTATAGTGATTTTTCAGATTCCGAAATTTGATCATATCACACCTGCACGTATTGACCTACATTGGCTTCCAGTAACATTCAGAGTTCAGGTTAAATTGATCCTCTTTGTTTACAAGTCATCATGCAACCAAAGTCCTCCCTACATTAAAGATCTTTTGTCCCTGAAACCACCTACTAATTATGCTCTTCACTTGTCTGCTCAATCTCTTCTGTTTGTTCCAAAAGCTAACTGCTCTTCACTTGGGGATTGGGCTTTGCTCATGCTGCACCTGTTTTATGGAACTCTCTGCCATTAACTATAAGAGCAAGTAGTAGCCTTGCCATTTTTAAAAAGCAACTTAAAACATTTCTATTTAGGAAAGCTTTTAGTTTTTTTCAATAGTTCTAATCTTATTGCCTTGGAATATTTTAATTTTAATAAGTATAGAACTTTAACTTATGTAAAGCCCTTCTGAATATTGTTTATAGTTTTAGCACCATATAAATTCCTTATCATTATCATTATTATCATCAAATACTACTCTGCATTTGTGCTCTATATAAGAGCCACAGGTTTTTTGAAATTTCAGTTAACAAATCAACCTATTCTACTGCCAGGTTTTAAACCAGGAATGTGTTAAACCAGGGATTTTCTGTTTTAAACTAGGGATGTGTTATTTTCTATTTACCAGGTCTTAAACCAGGGATGTGTTATTTTCTGTCAACCTGAATTGATATTTTTGGAATGTTTATTCGTTCTTTAACTGCGACTATGACTGTGCAATGATTACTTCTGCTCTTGTGTTCATCAATTTTGATTCAGTCTTTGCCATCTTATTTCCCCACCCTTTGTCTTTTCTAATGGTTATTTTTATTTGTATAGGTCCCAGGCTTCAAAATTTGAGATCAAGATGTAATTTTACTGAATTGTAGACAGTGTCTGGTAAGTAAACCAGCTGTAATATCTTGTCATTAATTTTAAAATAGTCTTCTTCTATGGAATCCAGATCATCTCCTTTTAAAGCATATCTAGATATTCTGGTTAACCCTTTACACCCTAAGAGAGACTAGCATCAAATTTCTCCACACAATGTCACCCCTGAATCAAACATAAAGGTCATGAGAATAAAGGAAATGATCACAAACAAAAGAAGCTTTTGATTGGTAAACAAATTCTCTCTGTCAGCACCTTAGGAAATGTATAAAGAGCAGTATGGAGAATATACATACTGATTTTAGGGTGTAAAGGGTTAATGAATGACTTCCATTATTTTTCAAAGATGGCAAATTTTGACCGATATTCATACTGCTTGACACAGAGTTCACAATTAAACTGCAAGAGGTGTACGTGAGTGGTACCACTGATTGCTTTGTAAATTCACAGCAAAAGAAATTTATTACCTGTCAGGCTAAAGTTTCCTAGTGAAGCAGTGTCTCCTCTTAAAAGAACCATTCTAGGCTAAAACTCAATACAGGTTCTTATTTTTAGAGTGTATTCAAATTTGATACTGTACATAGCATGGGATGCAAAAAGGTAACAAAAACTAGCCAGAACACTGGCAGCATTATAAGATCACAATAGTGTACTGTCAATACATCCATAGCTGTGCAACAGATCTTACTGTGTGTACAAGTTAACCATGTAAAGCAGAGCACTATGAGGCTGGCATACAGTGCTGTACAGTAAAAACTCACACAAAAGAACACATGTTTTGGGATTCTGGCTGATTTTGTTCTTACAGGGAGGGGGGTGTTTTCTGCAAAATCAGCCTGAAAGCATTCCTAAATTATTCTTAAAATTGTTTCCAAAAATTTTATACTGCATAGACTACCAACAGATGAAATCAATGTGCAAGCACAACATTGTAATTTTTATTAATGGATGGAACTAACCTTAACTGCATTAATCAAGGCAGTAATATTACGTTGGGGGAGGGGTAGCAGTTCTGGTGATAAACAACTCAAAACTCAACAAAAGTCAATCAAATTTGAAATGCACCAGCTCCCCTTCTCTCTTTTCATGTAACTATTGACTGGTCCCCAATCCTACATTAGCAAACTGAGAGAGGAAAATGACAGCATCTAGTTTATTAAATTTCCAGTCCTATCATCAGATCCATTTAAATTTGATAATTTTTCAAACCTTGGGGTGATATCTTTACATCATCAGAGCCATTTGCTGATATAGCAAACAGCCAGTTTTCTTAAATAATCTCTTGAAAAAGGTCTCATTGTTTCTTAACTCACTCCACGCCTCCCCAACCCATTGGGTCATCAAGATCCTGCTACCTTTGCTGAAAGTCTATCATGCTATTTATTGAGATTGTTCTCCTCTTCCAGCCATGTTTCCATTGCTGTACCAATTTCAATTTTCATCATCTGACCACATCCTGCATCAATGGGCTGGATTTTGTCAGTGTGGTTTAGTGTCAGTTAACTGTAGCGTTGATCTGATTTCTGCATGTTTCATGGAATGTTTGACTTTGTTGGAAGCAAAATAGAACATTGTCTTCTTTGTCATTCCCAATTCCTGGAATAAGTGTGCCCTGGACCCACTGCATGTTGATGTCTTCATCCATCCAGGCAGTTTACTGGAAATACATATCAACCCTCTTGTTATATTTTTCTTTCTCCTCAGTGGCCACACACCCTTTTTCTCTGAAGATAAGAGGTGGCTTCAATTTTTGTTCCCCATCAGCCCTAGTCCAAAGTTATGGAGTAGCCTGTTGTTTATCTAAACCAGGTGATGGTTGTGGCACCCTCACTGGCTTAGCACCCAATGTGTTGTAGGTTTTATATTGCTCATTTACAAATGAGAGAGGAACCTGGTCAATATTAATTTTGTATCTATTTTTAGGCATCCATCTTCTATACTTGGTGTCAACTTGAGGGGACTTGTTTCTTCTTGTTGGTCCTTCTCCTCAGTACCATTTTGCATTTTTTCTTGAATCTCTGGAACCAGTTGCTGCTTCCCTTAAATTTTGCAGCTTCTTCTGCATCATCGCATGCTTCAATTTTTAAATTCATTCTTTTTTTTTATATCAAAGTTTGGACACTTTGCTTCCTGCTGCTCTATGTAGTTTAAACTTGGCAACTAAAAGGTTGAAAGCCAGAGGATAGTTACCATTGTGTTGGGTTCTTTTCTCAGCTATCCTTCTCCTTTGTCTCATTGGCCTTGTGCACCTGTGTTCTTTGTCTTGTTCAAAGTCAGTTCTTCCAGAATTTTGCTTTTGTGTTTTTCCCACTTAAACACCACTGATATGTTGACTCCTTGTTGCTTTGCAACTGTGTTGTAATTATTTGTTGTTGGTTTCAGTGGATCCAAAAGATCTAGTTTCTAGGTTCTAGATAGATAGTTATCCCAAATAAATAGTGACTTCACAGTCAAAGTCAATAACACTCCCTTAGAAAGAGTAATTGAACATAAAACCCTTGGAGTTCAAATTGATGAATCTTTAAGCTGGCGCCCACACATTCATACCATTTCAAAGAAAATATCCGCTGGTATTGCTATCTTGAGGCGTGTAAGTAATTTTATACCACTTGATACTAGAGTGAATATGTATAATGCACTGGTGATGCCATATTTTAATTACTGTTAGTAGCGCCGTATGGGGTAATATCAATAAGGGACTAGCAGACAATCTTCAAAAGCTGCAGAATAGGGCTGCTAGAATTCTCACCTTTTCTAACTATGACGTTCGCTCAAGTGTTTTGTTGGATGAGCTTGGCTTTGATATGCTAGAACATGTAAGACTTAAACAGTTGGCTGTGACAATGTATAAAATACATAATAATCTGTAACTCTTATTATTCATGATATGAGTTTTTGTATTTTTAACATTATAGTAAATAGTTCCTTGTTACTCATGATATAAGTTTTTGTTTTTGTATGTTTAACATTATAGTCAATAGTTCTTAAAGTATTTTAGTATAATTTAAACATGATTCTTAGGAAGACCATGTAAAACGATATGATTTCGTGTATAAATAAAGATTGATGATGATGATGATGATGATGATCTTTTTGAAACAACAGTGTAGGACTTTTGCTTGTTACTTCCCCTTTGCTTGTTACTTCACCTTTGAGTTTGACTTTGGGCAACACCAGCCAATTCAGGTGGTGCATCTTCAAGCTGATGACTCTTAGCCATTCTCTGCATGTTTGTTTCACCTGATTGGTTCTTGATTTTTACAAAAATAGTCAATGTACATGTATTTCTACATGCTGAGCTGTTGTTGTTCAAGTTCTGTGTGGCAGAGGCTGGGTACTTGAATTGTACATGGCTGTCTAGATATTGTTGACCTCTCAATGATTTGTTGCAGTGTTTGCATTTGACCCTTTACACCCTAACATCAGTATGCATATTCTCCATACTGTTCTCTATACATTTCCTGAGGTGCTGACAAGGAGAATTAGCAAGATCCAAAGCTTCTGTAGTTTTTGATCATTTCCATTATTCTCATGACCTTAGTGTGTGAATCAGGGGAGATATTGTAAGGAGAAATTAGATGTTGGTCACTCTTAGGGGTTTAAGGGTTATTTGTGATGCTGCTCAGTTTAACTGTCTTTTCCAATTCCATGTCAGCATGTTGTGTCTGCAGCAAAAAACGAATGTGACTGACAGAAGATAACAGTTATTTAGTAATATGAATTAACCAAGTATAAAAACAATTTTTAAATGTACCCTGGAAATTCCCATACCTGCTGTGAAACTCCATTATGTGTGACAGTCCAGCACATATATTGATCTACTTAGGGTTATACTGTACCCTAGTAGGTTATTCTATTCTAACTGGCAGCTAATTTTTTTTTTTATATAAGAATAATTTTCATTTTTCAAGCTGAATGTGTTCTTATGTATATTGTACTTTTTTGACCAAATTTCAGTCTGGGTGTTCTTAATCTACTTGTTCTTTTATGCAGGTTTTTACTATATCACACCCACAACCACCAGTACAAGTTGCTTGTTTGTTTGTTTTTTTGTTTCAATTAAGAACATGGTTTAGAACCTAGGTAGCATATTTTCACAGGAAACGCCATCTATATTGGATCATCTAACTTGGAAAAACCTAGGACCATGTATTCAGGTTTTTCTGTAGCTAGCATTAAATCCTTAATAGGTTCCGTTTGGCTCCAAACTTGTGAAGGGGATATGATAATGTATTTGTTCACTTCCTTTTCTTACTCTGCTGAGTCATCATGAAAACCTGCACTTAGATTTAATTTGGTCATGTATAACTATAATTTTAAAAAATGGGTGATAATTGAAACAAGTTCCTTGAATCTCTTCTCCTTGTGTGGATTAAGAGATCTACAGGTGTAGGTTGCTCAAGTCACATTATCTTTTCTGACAAATTGCTAAAGGCCTGGTACTAATGAGCATTTTTCAATCTTTGGGGATCCTTAAAAAAAGCCAAGGAATTCACTCATGGGAGTATGAATGAGATGTCATGCATAACTGCAGGTGTAGAAATTTCTTTTGCTGTTGTGTCTGACTGACATGGTTTAAACAGCTTGCCAGTAGGCATCTTGGTCTATTTTGTAATCCCCCCACAAAACAGAATATTAGTCAGAAGCATGAATTATAGTTCTGTTCAGTGTTTTAAAGGAACATGATGTCACTTACAGTGTAAAAGTACCAAAGTACTTGCAATAATTAATAGGACTCAAATAAAGAGAGTGGGTGGTCTTACATTCAGTATGCTAGACTGCCGGCTGAGAGGTCTGGCTTTGAAACCTAGCAGGGTCATTGTGTTGTGTTCTTGGGCAAAACACTTTACGTCATCAGGCCTCTCTCCATCCAGGGGTATAAATGGGTACAGGTAAATTTTCAGGGAAGCCTAATGAAATGCTGGGGGGGGGGGAATCTTGCATAATCTGGCATTCCATCCAGGGGGGAGTGGTAATACTCTTAGTTGCCCCATGCAACAGAAACTTGGATAAGCTCTTGCTGGACTGGTTATATAATTAGCTTGAGTGTAGACTTTACCTTTTTACCTATCAAATGCAGAGTCACTCTTTAAGGTAGTGATCCCTGCTTTTCTGGGCATAGTGCATTCCAAGCAGGGGCAGAATGTACTGCATGGCTCAGCCCAGTTTTAAAACTCACATCTTAATGCAATTAACAGAACTCTCACCTAACTGCCTTAAAAGTTCATGAGAAACAATTTTTTTATTAAAATGAAATGCATCTGAATTCAAGAGTCATAAATACTGGTGCATAAAGTAGCTTTCTGCCAAACGCAATTAGGTTAACCTTATGTGGTCTTAATTACAAGTAATTTCACTTGCATCTTGCAATCTACCGTGTACCATTTTGGGACTTGGGTGGGTAGCCAATAGCTGAATCATCGTTTCATATTCATCAAACTCAAGTGTACTTTATAGGTTCACTGTCTTCTTTATATGTATCTATATAAATTCTAGAAGAGTAATTAAGATGATTTTGTTTTTTTAACTCTTCAGAAATTCCAAACAGTCATATATAACTTTTTCATAATCGGGTGCTAGGTGAAGTCCTCAAAAGGTAATGTTAAATGTACATGTAATGTGACACGAGACTTTTCTCAGTGATGATGATGTTGATGATGATAGTGATAAAGATGCCTAGGACAACAGGAACATGAATTAGTCCTTATATTATTAGTCCCAAATACATATCATGACTGTTGGGTTGTGAACATTTATTTGGTTGTATAGATTTGGGATGAAAAACGATGTCAAAATGTCACGGATGGTGGTTATGAATGAAGAGTATCATCGTTTTTATGTTATTGTAACTAAAAATTGTTATCAGTGTTATCATAATTGTTGGTTTTATTATCATTATGTCATGCACATTTTTTTAGCAGCTTTCTGATATTGACCAAAAATTCCTTAGCGGTTTAATCATTCTTTTATTATTTTTTTTCTCATGGTCCACAAAGAACGTGGAATTATCTCTTTTGCCCCACGGGTACCTTTTGAGGATTAGTCCGTAGTACTCTTGAACAACATGTCAGCTTCCGCACCGTCGCCCTTAGCCAGCTCCCTAGAGAAGACAAATGGATCCAAGTTGAGCAGACTTCTCATCGATGGTGGAACAACAGTATTGAGGACCATCTTTGATGGCTATCACCCACCTGCAAAGCTGTCTGCTGGACTGACCGCCCACTCTTGCACCCTGAATGCTCTTCTTAGGAAAAGGGTTCTGCGTGCAGCTCAGTGGGACAAACTATTCCCACCTGGCGGAGCGGCACCAGACTCTAAGACGTTTGATATCACTCTCCTATTTCTCCTTCTCACCAACATTTGCGGGCTATCTCCTCCTCCTCTCTCAGGGTGGCATGCAAAGCCATCTCCAGGTGATAACTCTTTGGAAGCAAATCTCGCTCGTGTGAAGTTCTTCCGCAATGAGTTGTACGGTCACGTTTCTAGCACTGGCATTGACACGCCCACTTTCTCCTCACTATGGAAAGAAATTAGCGCTGTTCTTGTTGCTCTTGGGCTCGATCAAACAGAAATCGATAAATTGAAAGAAGAAAAGTGTGGCGCGGAAGATTATCTTGACGTTTTACTTGAATGGGCTAAAAGTGAAGAAGAACTCAAATCTCATTTGGCGGACCTGCGTGGATCTCAGAGCACAACACAGCGTAGTATTGAAGATGTACGTCAAACCCAACTAGAAGATCACAAAACGCTTCAAGATAGCAAGTCAGTGCTAGGAGAAGTGCATCAGACCCAGACGAAAATACAAAGCACCATTCAGGGCGCTGCTAGAAGCCAGGACGAGCGTTTTGAAAGTTTGCAAACAGGTCTACAAGAAGTGAAGCTAGCCGTTGGAGAATTGAACAAAGGAAGAAACTCAGGCAGCCAAGGAGATGAGGTCCTGAGGAACCTCGTTCAGTCTGAATTCAAAGGAGACATCGAGTTTCACGTCCAACGTTTTCAAGAAGACACCCGTGGGTGGGTGTTTAGCAAAGTCGAAAACTGGCTAGACGACAGAAACTCTCAAAACCGGGTGATGGTTATATGCGGAAACGCAGGAATGGGGAAATCCGTTATTTCTGCCGCTGTTTGCAAGAAAATGCAAGTGGCTGGCCGTCTATGCGGAAGTCACTTCATTCAACATAACAACGTCCGTTACCGGAAGCCTCAGTTAATGCTTCAATCCTTGGCCTGTCATATGTGCCATGCTCTGCCAGAGTTTAAGCTAGCTCTCGTGGAACAGTTGACAAGAAATACGGGTAAGGATCTCAACGATATGGGGGTTGAGGAGTTATTTGCCCTTCTCTTTAAAGAGCCTCTCAGCAGCGTAGAGGACCCTGGAAGGAACATGCTAATAGTTATAGATGGCCTGGATGAAAGTGACTATCACGATCGGAATGAGTTACTAGAGGTCATTGTCAGTCACTTTTGCAAGCTTCCAATGTGGATTCGATTTCTTGTCACAAGCCGACCAGAGAGGAACATTGCAAAAACATTAAGACATTTGCAACCGTTTCAGCTGGAAGCTGAGGATGAGCAAAATCAAAATGACATCAAGCGCTTCATTGGAAAGAAATTGGAATGCATACCAGAAGCAGAAAACATGAATGACATTGTGGAATATCTAGTTGAAAAGTCGGAAGGGCTCATGTTGTATGCCCACTTTCTTCTTTTGTACATCGAAGAGAATCCATCCGTTCTTAAACAGGGAGACGAAAAAGGCAACTTACCGTTAGGAATTTCTGCAGTCTACCATCGCTATTTCAAAAGGTTGGAGAGTGAGCTCCTGACTGAGCTCGGCATCAAGGAAGATTCTTTTTTGAATTTCCTTTCTGCTCTTGCCGCATCAAGAGAACCTTTGCCTATCGACTTTGCTTCTCGGCTGTTGCTTTCAAGTACTACCGCAATGGCTAATAAACGGAAACTTTTGAAAGCTATAAACAGTGTTTCATCACTTCTTCCCGTTCGAGGTGACCGTCTTCACATTTTTCACAAGTCCATTAAAGATTGGTTAACAGATGAATGTTGTTACGGGGTGCACGACTTCACTGTTGACGAGAAAGAAGGCCATCGTATACTTGCAGAACTTTGTGCTGCTGAATTTGACATTCTGGTGCAAAGACGAGTTGCGAAATCTCTGAGAGTCGCGCAGTTTAATGACAAGACAATGTATACATTACAACATGGTGTGCGACACATGTTAGAGGTCGATGAGGATACAAGAAGAGATGGCATTGAGGACGTTGTGAGGAAGTATGTGATAAACCAAGAGCTTGTCTATGCAAAGCTGTGTGTGAATAGTACAGTGGCGACGGAAGATATTGCTTGTGTTCAAAAGGAAGAGAGCTATAGCTCGTTAAATGTAGAAACGAGGGCTCTCCTGGAAACTTTGCTGTCCATACTGCGGAAGAACAGTCAGTTGTTGAGGGAATTTCCGCATGTCTTCTTACAAACTGTGTTGAACGAAGGGGGATCAGTACTCTCTCCTGAGGCCAATAAACTCTTAAGCGAGAAATATCCTGAAATATCATACATGAGGTGCAGTTCTCAGAATCAACAGGAGTCAGTTGTTGAAGCCCGATTTCACTGTTCATCTGAAGTAGCTTGTTTTGATATTTCGCCAGACAAGGGCTATATGGTGTGTGAATGTTCTGATGCAACCATTCAGCTTTGGTCCTTAAAGACAGGTATACGAGAATGGACAAAGCCTGTTTTAGTCAAGAAGACGTACAGTCGAGGAGGATATTGCGAAATACCTTCAAATGTTTCTGACTCTTATTATTCTGAAACCAAACATTCCTTTTCATTTTATCAGTCAGTTGTTTTTCATCCTAATGGAGAATTCGTGCTGCCTGGAAAGTTTACTTATGTTTATACCATTGATGGGGAACAGACACAGCTCTTCAACAAAAGTGATTGTAGATTCTCTGTGTGTAAATTTATTGGAGAGAAGAAAAGAATGCTTTCAAACTGTATTGACAATTCTAAATGCCTGGTCTTGTGGAAAGTGGACACGGGAGAGGAAATTTCTCGCATCGCCAGAGCTGAAGATATCGTATCTTTTCAGTGTTCTGCCGATGAAAACCTACTTGCCATTTCCCATACGACGGGCTTAATTTGTCTGATAGATTTAGAGAATGAATTTGCTGAGTTATCGATGTGGACGTGGTTTTCATGTGGATTTATGAAATTTTGTCACGAAAATCGAATGCTTGTAGCTTTCTACCTTGCCGATTGTAGTTCTGGGAAGCGTTACTTTAGTGTTCCCTCTGGGGAAGTCATTGATCATCGTAACGCCATTAAGCTAGGTTGTGACCTTGAGTATGGTTACCCCGTTGATTCTAGTGGTGGTAATGGTTATCGCAGCACGATAGGTTTCCTCGACGGAGATACACCAAGCATTTTCAGTGAGGCAATGAGGAAAATAAATTCATTTTGGGAGATGGGATCACTTGTGCAGCTCAACGGAGAGTATGCATTGATGAGTAGTCCGAATCTTCACTTCGTGAGTTTAATAAATCTCAGGGAACTTAGTAAATTTGCCTTTGAGCCTAGAGCAGTGTACTGGGAGAGAGAGATAATATTTTCCATTAACGGAGAAATTATGTACGCAGTCACGTGGGAGACTGACATTGAAGGATGTAAAATGGGAAAAGCACAGGTGGCCGTGTGGGAATGTTCAAGCATGACAATCAAGAGAGAAAAGCAACTCCTTATGGATTCATTTGTGCCTGTAAAAGATGGTGTTGTTGTTTTGATGCGAAGGAGGCAATGTCGAGTCGAGCTGTGGAATGTTGAACTTACGGAATGTAAACATCACTGGAACAACCTACAAGAAATCCTGAGAGTAATTTCCATATCGAAAGAACAAGTGGCGTGTTGTGGACGAGGGGAAGTAACTGTGCTGTCTGCATCAGGCGACCTTTTGAGCACTATAACATACGGAAATACGTTCAGGATATATACTAGGGTCTGGGCAGTTTCCACTAAATACGAAATGCTCTCGACAACCTACATTACAAGTTTGCCAGATTCCGGTGAAACTCGGTATTTGTTACGGCTTTCAAATTCCCCTTCATGCTGGGAAATTGTGTTGACAAGTTACTCGACAATAGAGGGCATATTTTTTTCTCCCAAAGAGGACTACTGTGTAATATGGGGCGATTGTCTTGTGCAGGTTTTGTACGTAGCTTCAGGGGAACTTCACCGCAGATTCATCGAAAAGCACAAGATAGACAAGTGTAAATTCATCACGGAAAAACATTTAGTAATCTGTTCGAAGGAGAGTCATGGTAGCTTTCTTCGACTAATCAATGTGGAATCCGGTGAACATTTGACTACATTAGAGATTGAAGAACAGCCTACCTGTCTTGGTGTTTGTCCTTGCAGTCTCTGCATCGCCGTAGGCTTGCGAAAGTTGGATATAAAAATCATCCAAGTACATCTGCCAGAAACAGAAAACAATCAAAAGAGAAAGAGGTCAGTTTAATTAATTGAATTACGTTGATACTAAACCTTATGAGACAAGTGAGCGACAGTGACAGCGCCGCTTACAATTAAACATTTCGGGTTCCAATCCACTAACTCGAGATTTGAGATTTATGCCAGGTATTGAAAAGGTCACTCTTTCACAATCATATCACTTCAAAATGTTGGCAACATCCACATGTACATATAAATCTTGAAATCTCAGTCATCTGCTTCACCATTTGATGTACACACGTTTATTGGGTCTTTATCTCGGGACATTTACCATAAAGTAGTGAACGTGGTTGTATTCGAATGAGTTTAACAGTTATTACAGTTAAATAAGTGGACAATCATTATTATTGTGTAATGTGCATCTCCTATAGCTCTATTTTGATATTTCAAAGTTATGCTGTAAACAGTATTTCTGGATGCGCTTGGTGTATTATCTTTACAAACTCTACTTTTATCTGGTAGCCAGTGCCTTGACGGGTCTACTTTATCGTGGAAAATTCAGATATCGAATCGATATTAGGCTATTTTTTTTTTAATTTTCTTGTATGGTTTGTTTCTTGTAGTGATTTCCTCGACCTGTTGACATGCAAGAGAAAAAGATAGAGAATTTCACAGGAGTCCTCTACTTTGTGTGAAACCAAGCGGTTGACGGTGGATCACACTTGGAAAGAAAGAAGACATTGTTATGAAGTTGAGGAGATTTTGACATTTGCAAATGTATATGTGTTGTCAGTGTCAATCTGCGAAAGTCAACGAATGATGGTGTACTTAACCGAGAGCTACCGGTAATCGTTGTTTCGTACTAAATATGATTCATATAGCAATGAGAATTCGAAGTAACATTAACGATATGTGTTTTTGTTTCACTTTAGCGGATAATGAAACAAAAGAAATCGGCCGCAAAAATAGACAGAAAAAAGCAAAACCTCGCTAATTAGCGCATTAGTTTTAGATAAGTTAGAGATATTTTTCGAGTAATACACTTGCAAAATGTCCTCAATTAGAAGAGAGCTTTAAAGATTTTTTGTATGAAAATCCTAATGTGCCAAGACAAGAAACGTTCAATAAGTATTTTCTCGTAGAAATCTGTGTATCAGTAGTTTATTTTAGGATTTGAAAGTGACATTGGTCTTGAGACTTAGATGGGGAATGTTTGTCCCCACGACGAGTACAATTTTCCAAAATTATTTAAACACATGTCTGGCTTCATTGCGGTATATGATATGCTTTGTCGTTCCTTTTGGAAAGACGTTCGTTGTAGTTTTTTTTATGAAAGTTGACTAGACCAATTTTATGTGTATTTTATAAATAGTGAATCCTACGGGGTTTAGATGTAATTAATTTTCGGTCTTTGAGATTGAGCTAAACTGAACGGCGTTTTAGTATTTCTGAATATTAGCTGATGCAAACTATGGAAGGGTAGACTTTCACAAGAATTTACACAATTTTTATTGTGAGTTTTATGTTCACTACATGCTGCTCCAATCACTTGTAATATTGTAGTCTCCTCTCAGCGTCATTTGTATAGCAGTATTTTTTATTTTTTGGGGAGCGAAGAATACAAGAGTTAATCTACAGGCAGTATTGACTGTTAATGTTTCATAATAAATTTATAAACAGTTGGACTTGTCACTCACATTTATTAGGAAGAACACAGTACATCTAATCACAGGCGTCCTAAGCTCACGTCTGGAGAAAAAGCAAACGATTAATTCATGTAAGCGTAGGTCGAAGTCGTAGTGTGCAGCCTTGCCTTCGTCTTACAACAAAAATAACAGTGATGGCAAAGCAAGCTTAAAACGGAAGAGAACGCCGGAAACCACAACGGACACACAAGATGTGAGTAAGCTCTATTGATTTTTGCTTTCTCTCGAGACGTGAGCTTGGACGCCTGTGATCTAATTGAGTCTTCGTCGTAGAATGTACATTTGTTTTAAATTTCATAAAGAACCATTTCAAAGTCATCTGGAGACCCAAAGAGACTGTTAAGTCACTAATCTAATGTTGTCACTTAAGAAAAGATCAGAATGATTTTGAGTTCTATGAATTTGAGATATGAAGAGTGAATCGGTTGGATGCCACTCATTTTTAGTGCCCAGCGGAATCTTATTTCAGAAAGAGTCCACTTGAGATCCTGGAAAGAAAAGAACACTCTATGGGCGTTAAAGCATTTAACTGCCAGTCCACTACAACTCACTCTACCCCCTCTCTTTTGCGCTTCTATTCTCCCTTCGGAACAATAGGGATCTAAAGCAAACCGCGGTGGCGAAGGTAACATCTAGCCATTCGTGACATTCTGACTGAAAATTTAAATTGTTTTTTAATCGATTGCCGTCCAAACAGCTTAAGACCAGCTCAAAGGGACCGTTTTTTCCCCAACTTTTGGTCATTCAACAACTTTTGGGTTTTCCTTTCAACTTGACAGTTTAACCTATGAACTTTAAGGTTCCGAAGTCTTTTTCAGTCCCTTATGTCGTTTTGACAGTCACACTTCGGTGTGTTAGTTATGTCATTCATACACTAGCTTGGTAAAGTGTTTGGGCTAAAAATGCAACATAGCAAATAGGAGAAATTCTGGCGGTCCAGCGATATCTTCTCATCTATGATAGACGGTAATTTTACATCGCGACTGTATGGCTGATGTTGTTTGTGATGGAGCGTAAAGATAGTAAGAAAAATAGTCACATAAAGTCTCGCTTGCAAGATTCAAAAACCTTCACTGTTAAAATCAGATCGAAAGCAACATCCTTTCTTTCAGAAATTTTCTGCCTCGTAATAGCCGCTCACTTTCATTTAAAAGGCTTTAGGAATATTAGCATTGACTTCTTGTTTTATTCAAAGATATTTTGATATAAATATGACCTTGGCTTGGTGAGACAGGCCAAAATGCTCCAATACGTTGGATAGTTAAAAACACAAAAAGGGGGCAAAGAAGGAAACCAGAATTAAGGGAGGGGAAGGGGGAACTACTCTTTTAAATATTCTGATTCTTGCATAAACTGCAACATTTCACTAGACAAGATAATTGATTTGCTGTTGAAAATTTCGTCATTCGGGTAACTTCTACTTGCATGTAATGATCAGTACTGTCTTTGTCCCTGATGCTTATCACACCAAAATAAACTCGACTTCCTTCAGAAATGCCTCCAAGAGACAAATTAAGTTGGAATTGGAATTGTAAATCCTAGATCACCCATCGCGAAGTAGTTAGTGCGTTCCACTTTTGTTTGCATATAGATATCTTGTTAGACCTTTTGGTGTGTGGTATCGCTGAGTATTTTTAAGAGTTGTGCCGTATTTGGACGAGCCTTACGGGCACAACTGTTGAAAATACTCAGCGATACTACACACCAAAACGTCTAATAAGATATTTATTCTTCAACTGTTTTTTTTCTGCTAAGTCTTTTTGCTCATATCTCATATGGCGGGAAAAGCAAAGTGGATAGAGAAGCGTAGCGCGCGCGGCCGACCGGTTAAGCTGGTTTTTTTTACAGTGCAAAATAACTAACTGTTCAAATAACCATACAATATCGCAGGATATTTGTACTCTATTCGCGCGTTATTCTGTGTAGTTGGATAATAACAGTCGATATTTTCCGAGTTGTACAATCAGCAAAGTATGGCCTGGCAGTGTTGTTTACTCTGGTCAAATTTTCAGAATGGCAAAATTTCCGTTTACATTTTAGTAGAGCACTGGTTGGGCAGGGATGAAGTCTGTTTTTCCTCTTAAATGTGATTCAGTTGAATAACTTATTTCAAAGCACTGACTTAGGTTAAAACACTAATAAGACAAGATTTCGTGAATAGCCCGAGAATTGCAGTTTGTTATTTGTTAATAGAATACCTGTTAGTAATTCATGTACCATAGTCGTTAATTATAGTTGTTAACCATGAAGATTTGAAGTCAATATTGATTCTATATGCAAACATATATTTCCATGCTTGATCTCACTTGTGGAATATATAAAGATTGCGTGTAACACACTAGATGTAGGGATACATTAGTCGTCAAATCACCGAGCAGATTTCCAAGGACAAGTTGTATTAAAAATTTTGCATGCAGCACGCCACAGAAATTAGCCTAGGTTTGAATTTTTAAGAAGACCGCTTCGATTAAATGCATCACAACAAATCGTTTTGGAAGAAGTGCACACCAAGTAGTTTCAGTATTATTAGCGAACCAGTATAGTATTTGGAGTTACTTAACAACGCAGTTGATTCACAATACAGAGAGTTAGCATGTTGAAAAGAGGAACTGCTACGCATGCAGTGGAAATAGCAGTAATTGAAGACAGTATTCACATCACTTTGAACAATGATCACCAAAGATTGTGCATAAAACTTTTTTCTTATATCCTTCTCAGACTTTATGTTAAAATCACACTTCAGGACTGTTTTTTACGAATCAGTATTATAGTTACATCCTGTTATTGAAAGGATCTTGATCATTTAGCAAACGTCAAAAAATATTATTGATGAATGAGAGAGTTACCTTTATGCGGATTCTGAATTTACTAGGAAACATCGGTACCGAACTTGTTGAAATTTTTTCGAAAACAGATAACCCCTGTTCAATGGTCACATATTTCTTTTTCAAAGGTCTTATTTTATTTAGAAATGCTTCAGCGAGATACACTGAGTTGGCACTGATTGAAAACGACGATTTCACTCCTCTAAATGGGAGACCGACATTGCATTAGTTCAATGCAATGAAGTAACGTTGTGTGAATGACTAGTAGGAGACTCCTTCTAATGCCGGGTTGCTCAGAAAGACGATTTACTGTGACATAATTACCATGATGTTTTTTCAGACCGCGCATGTGCTCGTCAGAGGATGCTTTAAACGAGCCCGGAAAGACCAAAACTTCCAGCCATTTTACGCTCACCGTGCACAATCATTTATGCCTAAGATTTACTGTGCTATCTCCTTCGACCAAACCATTTTCTGTATTTTTATTGTAAATATATGTTATGCACTATTTTCACGTATTTTTAACTCATCAGTTACAAACCATTTAATTTCATGGTGGAATAGTTTTCCTTTTGCAAGGAATCTTCCTGAACGGTACTTCAGTAAGATTGATAGTCAAGAACTTTAATTATTTCTTGAATAAAATTGTTTTGTTTTTGTTATTTTTGTTTTGAAGGTGTCAGTATGCAATTTATGAGTTCGTTTTGCTCATGTAGAGAGTTTCCACGAATTCTTTCCAATTTTGTTTGCTAAGGAACGAGGAGTAAAGGAGTTGCAGAAAATGTAAAAAAAATTCCGGGTCGGGAGAACTTTTCAAACGCTGGATTGAAGTATTTGCAGAAAATGCACCAAACTTCCGGATCGGAAGACATTCTAAGGCGTATTAGTATACATGCAGCAAATCAAGTTATTACTACTAAATGTTCACCTGCTTTTTTTTTTCTCTGCATATACGTATGACAATGCCTTAAAGGTGATATTATTCGGTTTCTTTCTTGAGAGTTCAAGAAACTGTTATTTTACAGGTCAACAGCATGTAGAATACAGCCATACAACATTCTGTCCAGAAATATAAGCCTGAAGTCAAACTACCATTTCATCATTATTTTTGGGTTAACCTTTCTTGAGGCACAATCGGACATGAGAGAGGAGGATGATTTTGGTTGGGAGTGTGATAGGGGTTATCATTTTCCAGCCATTTTCTTCCACTTGTTTCTCGTAATTTGAATCAGAGAAAGCTTAGAAATGAAGCCCTTTTCACAAGGAGTGCCAAGGTGACTATTTTAAAACAGTCTATAAATTCACTTTATTTACGTACTTGAATGAAATCGGGCGTTTGTTAAATTCGATGGTAACCCTTGCAGATAGCGTATGCAATGACATTTAAAGAAAAAGGAATGAATGTGGTTCATCGTTTTACTGCAAATTCAGGCGTCGTTTACATGTTCGTATTTTGCATTCATTTGCACTGAAAACATTTGGCGATTATGGTGAGCAGGATGTTACGTGGAAAACTATTTGCTATAATCGATTAAAAGCTCGACAAAACTAGTTCTTTCAGTCGCTCATATTGACCGTTCCACCAACAGACTGGATGATAATTTTGGATAGAGCTGGCACAGGAAAATGGGGTCAAATAATTCACGTTGAATAAAAGACATTTGAATTTCTAATATGTATCATAATTTTCTTTATTCGGTTGATATATTAACACATAAAACCTTAGAATAAGCAAAGCGTACAACCAAGATTTCATTGTGGAATCTTCCCATCTAAGCTAACTTAACATAGAATCTTTTTAGCCTGATTACGACAGTACTTCGGTGATCAATTACAACACTAATTCGTGTGTTAAAACATTTACATTGTAATCACACTATTCAATTGTTGGCACGGTCCTAAATATTTTTTACACCATCCCAGGAGGATGGAGTTTCGATATACTTTAGATCGTTCTAAGCCTCGTCCAATATGTTTCTAATTTCTAATTATCAGTTGTACCAACATAGATCCAAGAACATATTCTGTAGCTAATCGTATTTACAACACAGCATATTCATCTGCTATAAGCGTACAAAGGTATCTACTTCCACATTCTGTTAATCCTTTGACCCCTTGGAGTGATTAGAATCTAATTTCTCCTTACAACGTCACCCCTGAATCACCCAGTAAGGTGTCGAGAATAAAGAAAGTAATCATCAAGTACAGAAGCTCCTGCTTGTTAAACAAATTCCCCTTGCCAGCGCCTCAGAACTTTATACAGAACAACAAGGAGAATATGCATACTGATGTTATGGTGTAAAGGGTTAAACTCAACTCCTGCTTCGGGATCAAAATACAGCTCGCTTCCCTAGCTCTCTTTCGTCACTGTCTTACCTAGCGCACGTACCTACTTTCTTGGACATAAATTAAAAGGTACCTGGATCATCCTTTCCTCATTTCAAGACATATCCTTCATTGCTTTGAGGGATGGGAGTTTCCATTTTGTTAACCTTAATATTCCAAAGTCCTCCGTAGGTAGACTATACCAAAGGGGTAAAAAGACCTAACTGAACCTTCTGAGGCGAGTAAAATTTCAAATAAAAAAAATAATGATAAGTCCAACTACAAATATACAGAGCGGTTGCTACTAAAGGTAAACTACTCTTAGCTGGCTTCGTTACCGTCTCAAAGTCAAGGAGTCAAACATAATAGTATTCACACTTCGGCTTCGCACTTGAGGAACACAATTTAAAAGTACATTAATTCTGTTTCGCGCCGTTTTCAGCCAAACAGGAGCAAAACCAGAAATTACAAGGTTTTACAAGGAAATAGCCTTTTTAAAGGCCATTTGATAACCATATAAGGTTTTTTCTACATATCTGATGAAGTCTCTATGGTGTCCACGTTCACGTATGGACGTTTCATTTCTCTAGCACTTTGCAATCCTGCAGTATGAATCAATGGTGCGTACATGCAATTAGCTGCGCTATCGTTACGATTGCTAGGGGAAATGTTAGTATAGTCAGTTCTTGCAACTTGCGTGGCATCTTCAAGTTCGCCATCGTTTCCCTCGCGTCTCAAGCTCATGTAAAGCCCGTTTGAATCAGTCCATGCCGATATAACATCATATGGGAAAACCTCATCGTTATCACGCGTGATAGTTTCGGTCCGTGACTCTGGTCTCGGTGACTCTATTTCCTCCACAGTTGCCATCTCAGTAGAGGTGCTCTGTACTGTAAATTTTCTGGATTTCCTTTTCTCAATTATTAACTTTGTGATCTTTCTGTGGGTAAAACCCACAACAGAGCAGATTATGAGGAGAACGGACAAAACAGCAATGACGATGACCAAATTGGTTGACAAGGAGCGATCGGCACCGTGACCGACCTCTGATACTTCTTCAAAAGATAGAAAAAAATAATTAAACATTGAAAAAAAGGAAAATGTTAAAATCAAATTAATAACCAAATTATCATTATTAATTTAAGTTAGAGTATTTACTGTGCAGTTTAAAATTTCTGAAATGAGGTCGTGTCGTGGAAAACAATCCAATTAGACAGTGCCCACCGATTAGCTTTGTGATTTTCTCAAACTTCATGATATCTATGCTATTTGGTCATCCGTATACTCTAAACAGCTGAAGGGGGAAGGGGGGGGGGAATGGGGGAAGGAGCACCTCCATACCTCCACTCTAGGGACTTTAGTCCGAGAAAAGGTTATTTGACGCATAAGTTTTACTAAATTTTTACACTAATTTTGAAATCGATTGTAGCTTAACTAGAATATGAAAGTATTTTTGATGAAGATTTGAGAAAAATGAATCCTTCTCCTCACCTGGTCCTCCCATAGGGGAGATGACCAAGGATCTGGAAGTTTTTCCGGCTATGTTTGACACATGACATGTGTATTTGGTTTCATCGTCTTGCAAGGAAACTTTAACTGAGTCCTCTCCATTAATCAGCGGTTCATCATCTTTAAACCATGCGTACTTTAGCGGGTGTCTGTTTGCCGTGTTGCAAAGCAGCAGAAGTTCTCTTTTCATCATTGCTTTGTCGTTTTGTTTAAGAATAATTCCTTTAACTTCAGTTATAACAGGATGCTCTGATTAAAAATAATGAAGAGAAACATATTTCTAAGCTGCAAAGCGAGATTTCTTGTAATACTTTGGCGGTCAATCTGATGGATAGGTAAGGTGCATTTTACTGCGTAGGCCAAATTCTTGGAAAATTTTTGCATTCTTTTGGACACCGGCAAAGCGCTCTTGGCAGCTGAATGTACACATGTATGGGAGCCATTCAGTGCTAATGTAGGAGCCGTTAGTGTTTGTTATGTCTTTATGTTTTTTTTTTAGCTTCCTTGTTATCTATTTTTTTCGCCTTCCTTTTTCACTGCATATTGCCAAGATTTTTTAATGTTTGCTTGTTTGCGTCTCGATTTCGTGGTGTTCAATTCGTTTTATTGTTTCATGTTATTGATGACCTTTTAAAGCATAATGGTAATAGCGGAGTGATGAAAGAAGCGATAAGCCAGAAAAGAACTTTTGAGTTGCCATCTAAGATAATAACCGTAGATGTCTAAAATGCAAGCAATTTGAACAATCTGAAGATCAGACAGACAAAACTTGTTGCGTTATCAAAATTTGTCAATGCTTGCACATCGCCCAGAATTCAGCGACACATCCGGGACTTTCATTGAGACGCTGGCGGTAGATTTGAAAGCTAATTAGAAAAAGATTGTCAAACAATGGAAAAAAAGGGTTGAAATTGTCAAGGAAGGCTTACGATCTACTCGTTTACGTATAAAATACTTTCCAAATGCTACTTTTATATATGGCTTTTAAAGGAGAAAGGTTAATTGAACAGTGTATCATTCTCGCTTTGCTCTTGCGCTTTCATAAGAGGTCGCAAATTTGCCTTGAAAATTGACTGTGTTAGCATTCTGCTTGTATGAGAAGTCGGTCTCAGCGCACTTTGAGGCGTAATTCATCTTCACTCAATTGCTAGATTTGTTCTTTACCATATGGATATTTTTTATTTGACATTCTAGAAAGGGTCATATAAATTTTCAAGGGATTTCAAACTTTGGAAGTAGTCGCAAAACGCGAATTTCGAAAACATTTGCTCAGCATCGTAGTGTTCTCTCCAAATTTGTCCTTATGGAGACTGCCATGAGAATACAAGAGACCTATTTTCTTTCCGCGACAATATCAGTAGAGCTAAGCTCCGCCTTCGCAAACAATCGCGGGGCCTCCCGTCTCAATAAACCGTGAGGAAACAGGCAACAATTTCCCTCCTCTCTCCCTTTCTGAAATATGTTTGACGAGTAAAATACCACATGAAACAGCTTAGTACAAGGAAAAGTTTCTTTTCCGATTTGTACACAAAAGGTAAATTTTGGGAAATACATGCAGCAGCAGAACAGGTGTTATGTAAAGCTTGATCGATGGACAACATAGTAAACCTTAATGACTCAAATAAACCTCACCGCGGAACTTAATAGCCGCAGATAGCACTCGATTGGAAGCACATGAGCTCTGATATGATCTAAGGGACCAGTAACTATGTACCATTTACCGCCGGGG